TTGGAAGCACTGTCTGACGCGTCTGCCTCCGCGACCCAAAAGGAGAAGCGGCGATGGAAGATGATGATGATGATGATGATGATTTTTATATAAAGGTGCATTTTCCTCACGTAATATGTGTTTGCTTCATTATATGTGGTCTACAATGCCACCAGGATTATATGTTCATACGGCTAGCCACTATTTTAATCTCTCGGATTAATGGAATGTATCACAGGCTAAGTAGTCAGATCCGCGTTGTGTTTTTGTTACTTATTAGTTCGCCAAAGCCACCAGTGAAACATTTTCTCAGCATGTGGACACAAAACAGGTACACAGCATTGCCGCCTCCATTGGTCCCTTCCCTTACCCCTCTCTCGAGAACCAGAACGCTTCAAGACACTTGTACGGAAGAGATTTGAACGTTGATTAAGGGACAAACTCTCTGAAAGCTTAACTGTATATCTAAAAATCTTCTGCGCATTTGCAAGTAGCAATGAATTATCCAATGTTGATGGCAGTACACTTTGGCTTCGCTGATAAACTGTCACTGATCGATTGATTTCAATGATTAACTGAAATTTAACTTTCGCTGAAACTATTGGTATATGTTACCGTACTGTATATACTGCATGTATTACTGTATTATTATTTAGACATCGACGAGTGTCTTACCGGTCAACGCTGTGATGTGAATGCGATTTGCACCAACACCGAAGGTAGCTTCAAATGTGCCTGCAAGGAGCGCTTCAGTGGTGACGGCTTTACGTGCAAGCCCATTGACGTCTGTAGCAACCCAATGTATAACCCGTGCAATCTGCAGACTACCAATTGTGTGTTCGACAATGAGTCAGCGACGTCCAGATGTAATTGCAAGCCAGGTTTTATGAAAACGACCGAAAGCAGCACGTCATGCGAAGGTACAGCTTTCGCTACGATGCGTTTTTTGGTAATCCCTGACGGGTGTGCAATGCAAGGTCAAAGAAAAATGTTTCATCATCCGCTCTTTTGATCCTTTGCTGGAAGAAGGCCTCTAGAAGACTTTTCCATGAACTTATATCCATTTTGATTCATGTCTTATTCATCTTAATCTAACGAACCTTCTCACCTGATCCTGTCATCGATCCGGAGGTCTTCCTGTGGCATTGAAGGCAGTCTAATGTTTCTCTGATCCAACGGTTTCCTGTTTTTCTTCCAACCTCTCTGCCAATTGTCATTTCAACTTCTTCACTCTTTCAATGACTCTTGATTCTGCTATTTACTCATTCGTTCGTCTTCCTATTTCTTCCTCCTATTCGTTACACGTCTCCTTATAATCTGTATTGCGCATTCTGCGGCTGATCCAGCTTTCTGATTAAGAGTAGATTCTTTGAATTAAAAGTCAGAACGATAAAATATTGAAAGACAAATGCATATGAACTGCAAATTCCTCAAACATAGAACTTTATAGCCATCGCTTATTCATAGGAAAGGTAGATTTTTGTCTGCAGGTGAAGTTTTAAGCACAGTCATGATCGTCTATCATCGCCATCTAACCGAGAGGATATGGCAGAGCAGCTTCAGTGAAGAAACGAACTTCCATTTTGGCGGTATTTGCTCTGTGGTTTCTGATGATTTTTTTTCAGTATAGTTAGTTGAATTGTAAGTCCAGCACCGCCTCCTTTCGTAAGGCCGCTGGACCTTTTGATTTGGCCAAAATAATCCATTTTCAGTATGTGAATGTAGTTAGCAGCGAAGCTTACAAGTCGATTCTCTGATCATACTTCTGACTTGTCATTTATGTAATCTACGCTCTATGAAATTTGCAGCAGGCGCAGTATTTCAATATGAACGCTTGTATACTTTTCTCCATTGCTGCTGTCATCGTTCAGTCTTCATAATCCTACGGGCAAGCCTTTCTATGAACACTGCACCCCTCTCTCAGCGGTTTCGAGCATGACATCATTCATTGCTTAGTGGTACAAGTGATCTTTGACGACGTTACGTCAACGCCATTGTTTTATGTTTCTGTACTTCAAAACAGCAGTTGTATCGAAGCTATATAAGAGAACATCCGCTTTCAAAAAGTAACCCTCCACTTTTGGTATTACTGACCGGCATATCACTATTTCATAGAGTTTACAAAGGATTTGCTTCTGTGTAATCATTGCGTCAGCTAATATGTAACCCTCAGTT